GGACCTTGGGGTGAACCCTATACCATTTCAGAGAAATGGCTGTCTAGTCTTTTCTTAAAAACCTCCAGTGTTGGAGCACCCAGAACTTCTGGAGACAGGCAGTTCCACTGGTTAATTGTTCTCACTGTCAGGAAGTTTCTCCTGAGTTTTAGGTTGCTTCTCTCTCTTCAGTTTCCATCCATTGCTTCTTGTTTGCCTCCTGGTGCTTTGGAAAATACCCCCCGCTTTCTTTGTGGCAGCCCCTTAAAAGCCTGTTGCCTATGTCACACTCTTGGGTAAAGCATGTGAGCCATTTCCTCCTTTCAGTGGTCCATGAAAATACATCTATAGTATGCAAATAATAAAGTCAAAAAAAGGTGAACAACATTTTTACAGAACTATAGATAAGTTGAAGCTGGACGACAAGGAATGGCTGGGAGGGGAGGGGCCAGGTGAGGCACCCCTTGATGTGAGTGACATTCAGTTGGCCACGCCCACCCAGTCACATGACCACCAAGCACGGCCACCCAGTCACATGACCACTAAGCCACACCCACCTAGTCACATGACCACTAAGCTGCATCCACCTAGTCACATGACCGCAAGCAACGCCCACCAAATAAGCCATGCCCACGGAACCAGTAGTAAAAAATTTTGAATTCCACCACTGCTACCTACCTATCTCTATTTTCCACCCACCCACCCATCTTCTAGCCATCATCTCTCTTATCTATCATCTATTTATTACTCATCTATTATCTCTCCCTCTCTCCTGTATATCTATCTATCTATCTATCTATCTATCTATCTATCTATCTATCTATCTATCTTCCATCCTTCCATCCATCCACATAACTCCATTGATTCCAAAAAGCTTAACATATATACAATTGTTCATCCTCAAGGTGACAGAAATACAAACAATTGTAAGAATGAGCCCATGGATTTGTTATAATCCATGAGCTTTTGTTTTCCGACCATTTTGTGTTTGTTTTCTGACCATTTTAACTTTAAAGTACTCTTAAACATTTCTCTTTGTTCTCTTCCTGTAGTGTATTATTATACGATGCACACATATCTTGTTCTGGGCTTCTCTTTGCCTTCCCATTGATTTGGGTGATCTCCTTATGGTCATGAAAGTCAACTAAACTGCAGGTGTAGGATGGCAGGCTATGAATGGTGTATTGCTGAGGAATTAACCGCAGGTTGCCCAGAATCTGTACAATAAAAGAATAACAAAGTTGGAAGGGACCCTGGAGGTCTTCTAACCCAACTCCCTGCTCAATCAGAAGACCCTATAACATTTCAGACAAGCAGTTGTCCACTCTCTTCTTGAAAGCTTCCAGTGATAGAGCAATCACAACTTCTGAAGGCAAGCTGTTCTACTGCTGTATTTTTTTCTCACTGTTAGAATGGTACAGGTAGAATGAGGTAGGATGATTCATCTCACCCAATGACAGGATTGGTCTCAGATAAAGTTAAAAGTGCAAATTACCACATAAATTCTTTTGGTGGAGCTTTAGAAGATGACGATTTTCTCTCAGAACCTGAAGGACCTTTGCAAACTCTTTCTCCACGATGCTTGACTTCATCCCATTTTTCTAGCTGAGCCTGGATATTGGCTAGATAAGGTAAAAGAAAATGAATTTTCAGGACAAAAGCATATATACTGCATCAAGTGTCAACTCATAAAATATTTCTATGGTCTTTTTAGAGATGCCAACAGAAAGGGAGTGGGGGGGAAGGGGTTTGAAAGAGCCGTGCGGCAGCTTGGAAATCAAAAGTGCATTCCATAAACAGTTTTTCAGAGTTAGTAACTAGGTGACTGAAATTTCTATCGTGCAAAGATCTAAATGGAGAACATGATGGATGACTCTTGGCTATGGCTGTGTCTCATTGGAGAATATGAATTACGATACACCCAGGGGGTGGGGAAACCAGGGTCAGTGAATTATGTGTCTCAGAGTCAGCTACACCCAGGCAGTGCCGGACATGTTAACTCCCAATAAATCCTTTTGAAGTTTTGGAAGTTTGGCTCAAGACTCATGATTTAATTGGGGTAACCGCCGAAATCCTGACATCAAGACTCTCATCAGCTAAGCTAGATGTCTTGTAGTTTTCTTAGCAACAGCAACACAGGAGTAGCTAGCCAGAGGTAGTCCTTGACTTACAATTGTTTAGTGACTGTTCAAAGTTACAATGGCACTGAAAAATTGTGACGTATGACTCTTTTTCACACTTACAGCTGTTGTGCTCAGGTAGGGCATGTCAATTTTTTCAACTTTCAATTTCCAAACATTAGGGGCGCTCAAAAGTTGTGACATTCCTTGGGGATTGTAAAGATATTTTGGTTACTTTAATATAATTTAGATGTGATCGGTAAGTTACCACAGCTGAGTGAAAAAGTCCTGCACGCATTACTGTTTATGACAATTTTTGGGATAGGCCATTGATTTGATGATATTTTATGCTAACTGCTATGCAAATATTGTTATATTTAAATAAATACAGATGGTTTTTAAGTGAAAAGCATAAGCTTTTTGCAATTTGGTGCTGTTTGGATGGAGATTGTGAATTTTCTTGAATGCTTACAATGACTATGAAAACAGATTAACTGATGCATACCCAGTGGCATACGTGTTGCAATAACTAAGGCCGATACTTATGTTTTGTTAACATTTTTATTGTTTGTGGCCCTGAAAAGGACCATTTAGGTAAGGTTACTAATATGAAGTTGGCCAGCCCTTGTTGCTTATCACCAGGCGGCATCGCTTCGGCATAGATTGCATAAGTCTTTGCACGTGATCTTTGGTGACAATTGTGGTGCCTTAAAAAAGACTTTGGTTATATTAATAAAAATTATACATCTCAATCCGACTACAGACATTTTCATCAAAGTACTAATTCTGCGTGGTTTCTATGAGTGAAAAGTTGATTCAACATGTGTAAATACAGCTTAAAACTGAAAGTGTGCAGGACGTTTTCACAAAGTTATGGTACACAAATACCGTAACTTTTTAAACATTTTGTTACTTTCATTTGGCATGGCAGCTGTTCCGTGGCCACATGATCAAAATTCGAAAGCTTGGCAACTGGTTCCTATTTATGATGGTTGCATTATCCCGGGATCACGTGATCCCCCTTTGCAACCTTCTGACAAGCAAAGTCAATGGGGAAGCCAGATTCACTAAACAGCAGCATTACTCACTTAACAACTGCAGTGATATACTTAACAAATGTGGGAAGAAAAGCTGTAAAATGGGGCTGTAAAAATGCCCCATTTTACTTAACAAATACCTTTTTCGGCAACAGGCTCAAACTGCGCCCATAAGCCAAGGGCTACCTGAACAGGTTGTCCTCGACTTACAACCATTGTTAAGCCCAACATTTCTGTTGTTCAGTGAGACATTCATTAAGTGAGTTTCCTCTCCCCATTTTATGACTTTTCTTGCCACAGTTGTTCAGTGAATCACTGCAGTCGATAAGTTAGTAAGCCAGTTGTTAAGTGAATCTGGATTCTCGACTGATTTTGCTTGTCACAAGGTTGCAAGAGGGGATCCCAAGACCCTGGGACACAGCAAAGGTCATAAATATGAACCTGTTGCCAATCATCTGAATGTTGATCACATCATCATGGGATGCTGCAAAAGTCATAACTATGAAAAATGGTTGTAAGTCACATTTTTCAATACTGTTGTAACTTTGAACAGTCACTAAACAAACTGTTGTAAGTCAAGGACTACCTGTACCCCTTTCTTCCAAGATGTTTCTTGGTCTAGCCCAACGGTGGGCTTCAAATTTTTTTATTACTGGTTCTGTGAGTGTGGCTTGGTGGGCGTGACAGGGAAAGGATATTGTAAAATCCTAATTCTCACCCCACTCCAGTGGGAAGGATACTGTAAAATCTCCATTCCCTCCCCACTAACCTGCTTTCCAGCTCCGTTCTCCTGTGCAGGGCAACCAAAGAAGACCCAGCCAATCAGCTGGGACTTGGGAGGCAGAGAATAGATGGGGGCGGGGCCAGTCAGAGGTGGGATTTGCCGGTTCTCTGAACTGCTCAAAATTTCCGCTACCAGTTCTCCAGAACTGGTCAGAACCTGCTGAATACCACCTCTGGCCCAACCTATTCTCTGGGCTCAACAGCGTGAACTAAGGATTACTTTGAATAGTTTTTTCCATTTCAGAAAGATTAACTAAGTCAGTTCAGGAAAATGGATTTCTTTCCCTCAAAAGGAGAAAATTGTCCCAAGCCTTTTCCTCTGTGATTTTTATGTATGCTGCTGTTGCAGCAGAGAACATAATAAACATATCCATATAGTACCCTTAACCAGTTATGGGATAACAACTTGGTGGCCGCATTCACATCAACTACTAAACTTGGTTAGAATTAAACTTAGGTGCATTTTATTTAGGTTTGGGTGAAGCACAAACTCAGGTTTATGGTTCAATATAATGTGCACCTTTAGAAAATGGCTTAATTTAACAGGTTTGTTAAGCTTGTGTGAACACAGTGAAGTAATTTCAAAGACCAACTGATGAACCAGAGTAACAATGTCACTTCCAACTCTGTTAATCTGTAAATTTAAGATATTCTTTGAAAAAAGAATGACTTTTCCCAGCCTGGTCCAAAAACCAGCTATTGAAGGGGTGGTCAACCTTTTTATACCTACCACCTACTTTTGTATCTCTATTAGTAGTAAAATTTTCTCTAACTGCCTACAGGTTCCACAGTAACGGTGATTTATACTTTATAGTAGGGGACAAAACCCCTACTGCCCACCATGAAAGCTGGAATGCCCTCTAGTGGGCGGTAGGGACCAGGTTTTGACTACCACTGAGCTAAAGCCTTGGAAGAGCTGTAGATCATTAGAGGCCATGACTGGGAAGGCCCTGCTTTTTGTAAGCTGCTTTTTCCTACCCTAGACAGAAACAAAGGTCTTCTAATCTAGCCCACCTGAAGGGTACCAGGTTGGGAAAGATGACAGAGTATATTCATAAACTGGAATAGAGCATGATAACTAGGTCAGCCAATGAATAGACATAGCAACTAAGTCAGCCAATGAGGACTGTTTGGAAACTGGAACTAGAAGTAGCCTAGGCTTGGCTCTATATTAAGCTCTGCAGCTCTGCAGCTATGTTAAGCTCTGAGTCTGTCTATTGAAAATGAAACTGCTTCTCTCCTATGCTGTGTGTCTTGCTTGTCTGCTGAACTAAAGTGAAACTGATGTCTGTTTCTGAGCTCCTGAGTTGCTGTTCTGCTCTGGACCTGTAACATGTCTGCTACTGATTGAGTTTGAGCTCTATGTTGGAGAAATCTACAACTGGTATTGTAAAATTTACTTTATATGTTTATAAAGAAGTTAAATGAAGCCTCAGTCATCTGTGTTTATTTTCCTGGTGCTGAATTTACATTGTGATACTCTGAACAAAAGAGTATTGAAAAAACTAATATGCAGGAGATGGGATTATCTGTGGGTTCTCTTTAACGGGTTTGAACATCACATTAACAGTCCAAATAATGTGGTACAGTTCTCTGGTGTGGGATCACTGTTTAAAATAACCACTGTTATTTGTACCTGTGAAATGGTGCAAGATATTATTTCCTATGCTTGACTTCTCAACCCCAAGAAGTAAATAGGCTAAATATTAGGTTAGGCCACAGTTAGTATCCCAACCTATGTCTTGAATGTCCTTAGTTCAAGTCTTATAGTCCAATGGGCCCTTTAAGAACTGATCCCTCCTATCAAAAAAAAAAAAAAATAGAATGTGGGAGGAGCAAAGCAAGTTAAATAGATTTAATATATTACAGCTTCCCATTCAAGAATATGAATGTCAAGTAGTATCCACTGGAGGGCAGGTCAAAATTAACAAGTTGGTGGATAAAGAGGTAACGATTCACCCTGTCCAGTCAAATTTATATTTACCAACACAACACAAAAATAGTTTGTCACGTAAGCAACTGCCTGCGAAGGCTCCTGGATTGGGGCTGAAAGGTGAAAGTGGAAGCAGTATGCTCTATCCTATATTTGGGTAGACCAGGTTGCCTTGATAGACTGGTCTCACCAGAAAAAACAAAACAAAACAAAAACACCCTGTCCAGTTGTGTCTGATCCCAAAGGGTTGGGGCTCATCTCTGTTTCCTAGCCCAGGGAGCTAGTGTTGTCCGAAGACACTTCATTTGGCCAGCATGACTATATGCCGAGGCACATGGAACACCGTTACCTTCCCACTGAAGTGATACCTATTTATCTACACACATTTGCATGCTTTTGAACTGCTAGGTTGGCAGGAGCTGGGACAAGAAATGGGAGCTCACCCTGTCACATAGCACTTGGGTCTCCAATCTGGGCTGTCAGCTGTCCTGTTGACAAGCTCAGAGTCTTTAACCACTGGCCCTAAGAAGGTGGATACGTATAGCAATACATTGCTCTGCCTACCATCTTCCTGATCATGGCCCCTGTTGCAGATGCCTCCAGAAAAAGCTGCATACCTAAATCCAGTGATTTCTCCGGACCCTTGAGTGGTTGGATTTTCTGTTCGGTGTCCACATAGATAAGGTCTGGTTTTTCAGCCTTCCTTCTATGGGTCGATCCTTTCAAGCTCTCCCCTCTTGAGGAATTCTCCCGCTTTTTCACTTTGCTTTGGATTTGGGAAACAGGTTCACTGAGGTCAAGGAGATCCAGACCTGTTGACAGAACTATCAAAGGACCATTGTGAAAAAAAAGAGACGTTTTAATACCCTCACTCCAATGTAACCCCAATGCTTGAAAAAATACGCTGAATTTCCCTTGGCTTTCTCAAGGTGGAATCCAAACTAAATATAACATGGGATTTGTGTATGTGTGTGTGTGTGTGCACGTGCGTGTGTGCGTGCGCATGTGTGTGAGTGTGTATGTTTCTCTCTCTCTCTGTGTGTGCATATACGTTGGCAAGGGGGGGTAGATTTTTGTACCTCAAGTTTGGACTGAAAAAAAGAAGGTCTATAGGAAAGAATGGTGACTCTCTAATTGAAATCCCTGCTTACACACATGATTTATATTTATTATAGACCACAAACATTACCATATTTACTTTTTATATTTTCCAGCTTGTAGCAGTTCCCCACTAATGATTTATATAAGAGAATCAGTTCAGGGGCTGCATTAACCCCCTACTATCAAAACCAGCCATTCTTCTTATAATTATGTTTTTCTTTGTTCCAGGTAATTCAAATAACCTCTTCAATAAATCTGAAAGTATTGTTGTCCTAAAATTTATTTAGATGGTTTGCCACTATCTCCCCCTTGATTTCCCAGTGTGGCCACAAAACACACTGGAAATTTTCCTCTGAACATACCAATCAGGGGATTTTCTTAGTTTCTAAGACAAATACCTCAGCCAGATACTGTCACTCACTGAAGTCCTTCGAGAGGGCTGGCCAAATTAAATTTCTTGCTTTAACCCTAACCTTGATACGTCGAGATGATAAAAGCTCTGAGGGTGACCCCAAATTGTCCATGGATGTGATCCCAGCCATGGGTCCTTAATTATCAATTATTTTCCTCACAATTTAGTCAGCTGGTGATTTCATACTATTTCAGCAGAGATTTAAATTAATGTAGTAACATGACAAAATGGCTGCACAAAGCCATCCCTTGCTAAGGAAACTGAAGGATTCAATAAAAGCACATTGATAAGATTCCAAATGAAAAACTGAACCAATTGTGCTCATAATATTTAACGAACTCTTTCATTTTCCACATATGTCTGCATTAATTAGGAATGTCTAGGCAGATAATTATCTAGTACTAAGGATGGGATTAATAACATCTATGCTGTGAAGTTATATAATTTTTATTTTACTTCTAGGTCATTTTCTCTTTATACTTCTTTAATCTTTCAAACCTATTTCCTTAGGCTTGAGAATGATCCCAAAATGAAAAATGTAGCCTGTTATTTCAACAGGCTTCAAATCTTATGGTCGGTGTTGACTGGCTTTCTTTGAGGGGGCTGGGACTTCAGCGTTCTCAAATTTGGGATTCTGTTTTTCATTACTGGAAGACGTTTGTCATGTATGGTTTAACCTTGGCAATATGGCCAATGTCAAAATATTTACTCCAAGATTTGCATTGGAGATTATGAAGTAAGAAATTTAAAAGAAAGGGGCAGTTGCAAGAGCAACATGAAGGTCACAAATTTTTAGATGTTCATTAGCAATTTAGATTGAAGGCCAAGGTCCTTGTGGTTTTGAAGATTGTCCAGCCATCCTCATTTCTCAGCAAAGCACTTATAGAGTTCCCAAAGTTATTTCTCAAGACATTTGTTTTACTCTAGCTTAATTTGTTTTGGGGGTTGGCATGATACATGGAACTTATATCATGCCAACCTACTTAATCATGGTTTGTAATGACTTAGCCAACCCACTTAATCCAACCTACTTGGTTGGTAATGACTTAGCAGATTTACTTACACAACACACTATGTCTAGTTTTGTCAAGGTTTGTGTGTGTGTGTGTGTGTGCTAATATGCAGCACGGTCCCAGCTGATTTGATCAGCCTATGGTTTAATGCATTTCGAGAACTAAGAAAATGGGTTGATGCTGTAACTTGGTTTAAGTGTGTCGTAAGCACAGCTACTGGACCATAAATTATGTTCATTGGAGTCACTCAACACGCAGAATTAAAAATCAAGCTGTAGTTAATAGCCAAGCACATGGTGTGAATGCAGCTGTTATCTCTTTAATTTGGGATGGTTAAGATTATTATGTTATTATTTTTCTTTTTATTATTTTTATTTCTTTTATATGCTGTTTTTATATCCCTGTAAGCTGCCTTGAATTGCCATGTGCGAGTAGGCAGCAATATAAATTGTCTAAATAAATAAAAAATAATAAATAAATCTGGAACAAACATAATCATGGAATGTGATTTTTAGCAGCAAAGAGGCTGAGAAGAAAGGATTTATATTACTCTTTCCCATCGTATTGAAAGTCTTTGATTTTTAAACCAGTGATATTAGAGACAATTAGGGATATCCTAATCACATTTTCCTTGCTTTGTGTCAATTTTCATCTGCAGTAATTTTACTGAATCCTAAAACTATATAGTTTGATTATAGCAAGCTATTCTCAAGATTCACTTAATTCTTGACCACAATCGAACCCCCAATTTATATTATTAAGCAAGACATTTTTAAAGTGAGTTTTGCCCCCATTTTATGAAATTTCTTTCCACCGTTAAGTGAATCACCACAGTTGGTAAGAAGGATGCTAAGTGAATCTGCTTTCCCCACTGACTTTGCTTGTCAGAAGATCGCAAAAGGACGATCATATGACCCCAGGATGCTTCAACGGTCATAAGTATGAACCTGATTGCCAAAGATCTGAATTTTGATCACGTGGCCATGGGGAATGCTGCAAAGGTTGCAACTGTGAAAAACAGTCATAAGTTCAGTGCTTTTGTAACTTCAAATGGTCACTAAATGAACTATTATAACTTGAGGATTACCAGGGGTGGGCTTCAAATTTTTTTAGCAATGGGTTCTCTGCCTGGTGGCTGAGTGGGCGTGCCATGGTGGGCATGGCCTAGCTGGCCTCCTGCACCATGGTGGGGGACATTTTTGCCTTCCCTGGGCTATGGAGGCTTTCCTTGAGCCTCCTGGAGGGAGAAACTGGCCTCCCTGGGCTCCGGAGGCTCATTTCTGGCCTTCCCGAACTTCTGGGAGGCCTGTTTTTCACCCTGTCTGAGCCTCCATGCGCACCCTGCACTTACCTGCATCCAAAACGGGCTGTGTGGGGACCCCTGGGAGGAGTGGGGTGGGCAGGGCCAACCAGGAGTGGGATTTGGAGGTTCTTCAAACTGCACAGAATCTTAGCTAGGGGCTCCCCTGTGAAACCCCAGCAGCCCACCCCTGATGTATTTGTATACTATTTTTAAAAGGCTGGAATCAGGTAAGCGATGGCAGAGGATTGCATCCTACAAAAGGACTGACCTATAGCCCAAAATAACAGTGGCACAAGGCTTAAGATCCGTGTAGCTAAAAAAAAGGACACTGATATGTCTTCATCATTCTGTGGACATACCTTATGTGTCATTCAGGTAAATAAAAGTACATTGTTTCCCTTTTGGATGACTACTTTTTCTTTTTTTTAAAAAGTACCTTTGTTAAAAATTACAATTACAAAAATACAGACAACCCGCCACCCCCAAAGATTAAAAAGGAAAAATAGAAAATTCAGAAAAGAAGGAAAAAAAATAAGTGTACAGTAAAGAACAAGAAAATAAATATAATAAAAAGAATTCCCCTTCATCACAAGTATAAGCAAGTTTAGTAATTTATCACCTTCTCTTAAAGTACAACAGCTATGAAAGTTTTCTCAAATCCTATCTTTTATCTATATAAAAAAACCCTTTTTAAAGACTTCCTTCTTGAACAATAAAGGTAAAAGTTCCTCTCGCACATACGTGCTAGTCGTTTCCAGCTCTAGGGGGCAGTGCTCATCTCCATTACAAAGCTGAAGAGCCAGCATTGTCCGAAGATGTCTCTGTGGTCATGTGGCCGGCATGACTAAATGCCGAAGGCAGACTGAACGCTGTTACCTTCCCACCAAAGGGGTCCCTATTTTTCTACTTGCATTTTTACATGCTTTCAAACTGCTAGGTTGGCAGAAGTTGGGACAAGTCACGGGAGCTCATTCCGTTACCTGATGCTAGGGATTCAAACCGCTGAACTGCTGACCTTTCTGATCGACAAGCTCAGCGTCTTAGCCACTGAGCCACTGTGTCCCCTTATGACCCTGCAATTCCTTAATTTGGCATAGAGTTGGGGCAACTGGATGGAGTTGAATGTTTACTGGCTGGATGCCCTTCCTGATGCCTATGAGGAGTTCACAGCAGATATTTTCTCTTTGCAACCTAGGAGAAAAACATCTGCCACTACCTAGGATTGAACTTTCAATCTTCTGAGTGAGAAGACAGTCTTTAGCACTAGGCCACTATACTGTTCATCTTTTATCTCTGAACATATCCTTCAAACTTATCATTTCAGTCTGATCAGCAAAAGCCCATTAAGAGTTACTCCAAATAACAGCATATCTATTTTGACCTTGATCAAATAAATCAACTGTATATCCCTTTCTTCTACTTCTAACAATCTTGATCTTTAATCCCTTTGAATAGAACTTGATTTCACTTTTCCTTTGTCCTTTTCCACACAATTCTTTAAAGCTTTAACAAGCCTCCTTGTAAATCCAATATAGGAAGGTTCATTATTTGTATATCCCTTTTGATTATTAAGATCTTAGCTGATTTCTTTTGTATGTCTAGAATAGCATCTTTTGCTGTATCGTTCTTGTAGCCTGTCATTTGTAAATCCATTTTCAGATCAGTCTCAATCCTGTTGGGTAAAACTTGTTCTTCTTTCATAACATCTGTAAACACAATCTATTATAGAGGCAGGCTTAACGTTAACTTCTAAATCCATTGTTCAAACTTAACCTTCAAGATATCCAAGGTTAAAATATCTTGCTTCATTCAGTATTAGTAAGTTATATTTAATTGGGATCTTCAGTTCTTTCTGGTTCTCTCTTTGAAGGCCCTTTTGTAATTATTGTCATACCATACTCATTTGATTATATAGAATAAACGGTATAAAGGTCATATTCAGTGTGTGTCTACAAATATCGTTGGAAAAACCAGAAGAGAATGAGAAGACAGAAGTTTATCTTGTTTTAAAGGATATCCTTTCTTTTTTTTCTTTTGGTCAAAAACCAGACCCTGCATTAGTTGGAATAGCAATAAGGTTAAAAAGCCTTAAAATTCCATCTAAATTTGATACTGTTTGTGAATCCAGTATGCAAAGGGTGTATTTCCTCAATGACAGCTGAGAGGACACATTAATTTATTTGCAACCCTGTATTCAAATCACCTCATCTGGATGCATGCATAACACATCCCTTGCATGCAAATGGTCTGTGGTTCAACCTAACCAGGTCCTACACACATACACACACGCACCTTACAGGGTTCTTGCCACTCAGAATGTATATGTGATTTGATGGAGAGTCTCATTTGGAATTCATGAGGCAACTATGTGCCTGTTAACTAGCAAAAATATTTTAGGAAGACTGGATGTTGCCATTACATTTTCCTTCTGTAGCCAAGATTTGTTGGGAATTGCATGATGGTTGGGAATTCCAAGAATGACACTTAGAGAGTACGGTATCAAGCTATGAAAAAATATCTTGCGTAGAATTGATAGGTCCACAGTGTTCTCCACTTTGGTTTACCCCAGATGAGTTAGACTGCAACGTTCACATTTCCTAGTCAGTATAGGACTAAGTGAAACTGGGGCTCATCTCCAGAATATTGAGTTGGAAATGGATGGCTAAAACAACTGGCAGTAACTTCTGATGGTTATAGAGAAGATTTTCTGATGTGTTGCCATCAGGTGAATGTGAGATTTTACATTTACAGCTGTAAAATTGCCTTCATGTCTTTAGGAAAAAAGCGTTTGCCTTTATGGAATACTAATGGCTCCCGAACCACTTAAAATTTCCTTTAAGAGTTTTTTATTTCATCCATCACTGCCAGTTTTCTTGTGAAACCTTCTCTCTCTCTCTCTCTCTCTCTCTCTCTCTCTCTCTCTCTCTCTCTCTCTTAGATTTTAAAGAAATTCACTCCTAACTTGTTTAAAGTGAGCTCTTTTTTTTTTTTTTGAAATCTTTGCAAAGAGAATGGCCATGAAATTGTTGAGAAATAGCAGCCGCATGTCTGGAACAGTATAAGATCTCCTGCTTGACCAGGATTGGAGTAGAAGTTCTCCAAGGTCCCTTCCAACTCTGTTATTCTGTTATTAGTATATATATATATAAACATGTATGCCAGAAAAATATTGTTGTCCTTTTCTCTTGTAGAGGGAAATCTCTTGGCATCATGATATTTTTATCCAGGCTGACCTGACTTGCTAAACATCAACAGGAGCCAAGCAACTTGTCTTCACACCTTGTTTGTCAAAACTCAGTTTGTGTTCCTCACATTTCTCCCCCTTACATTTATACTGAATTTTTAAAAGCAACGGTGAACTTTATTTAGCATGAAAACTATCTTCATATGCCAGATTTAAAAAAAATGTATTCCATCCAGAAACCAGCTCTATGATTAGCCAATAATATTTTGTTTCAAGAGAAACCAACGATATGAATATCTAAGAATATAGCTTTCAACTCACATGCCAAGTCCTTTGTTTGTATATATACATGAAGCAGCCCTTCCTTTGGGAAACTTCACTGATTCTCATCCGTTTTCAGTTTTTCTGCACATAGTTGAACAGTATCAAATATCACAAGCTATAATCATGACTCTAGCCCGTGTGCCATTAAGAACCCACGGGTTCCTTCCCCCGCAAAATGAGAGAAAATCTTTGTGGCATAGAGCTTCAAAAAGCAGTCGGCAGAGGAACAAACATCAGGCAGAATTTGGAAATGAACTGCAACCGAACAAGCGTGAATGAAAGAGCCGTTACCTGCTGTATTTGATGTCACCGGATGTGCAATGGCTTCTGATTTGGTTTCGCAAAGAAAGTCATCTATTGAAGGACTCAGCAAGGGTCGGCTTTCTTGTTGCTCATTCACAAGCTAGTGACAAAAAAGCAAGAAGAGAGAGTTGGATGTGTGTGCCTGTGGGTGCCGCTTAACTAGGCACACAAATGTCACGACAGCATCAAATGGTGTGTATATATATATATATATATATATATATATATATATATATATATATCCATTTCTGAAAGCATCATATGGCTTAAATTGGCATATGGTTTCCCTTGAAATTAAATGAGATGAATATAAGCAACTGAATGAGAGGAAGCAAAAAAAGATAAAACAACACTCGTCAGTACCTAACTTCTGATTTCAGTCTTCTGCCGCAGGAAGATTGTCGTCCTTTCAATAATTATATTCTAATCAGGTTCCAAAGGGCATGCTTTTTATGATTTGGGATCTAATGAAGCCCCAATTTAGCTGGGCTCACAAAGTTTGTTAAACCCTACCCTCTTGCTAGGAAAATACAGTTGCTGTGGTTGTATAACATGCTTTACTCAAATAAATAATGGATTAAGGTAGCTTATCATGGTTTAAATCTGATGAGCTGCTTTCTTCAATCTGTTCCAGAAATCTATTTACCCTACTTTAGCATGGTGTGCAAATCCAGCCATGCATAGGGGCCATGTAGATTCACTGGCCTTTTTGCATTTACACATGGTTCCCTGTTCGACAACTAGCCAGCAGTATGGCAACCTGACTTTTCTCTAGAAGAGCGAGCCCATCTCAACTGCAGAAAGCAAGAGGAGGCAAGAGACCAGACCCATCATCCAAATGCCTTTCCTTTCCATCCCTTGTTCAGTTCGGCTGGACAAACCACCTCAGGCACATTTCCAAAACATTTGGAAAACAGCATGCTACGGATCTCATCTGCACGAGCTGAAAGACCTTATAAGGGCAGTGTGTGTGTGTGTGTGTATGTGTGAAACTCCCATCGCACCTATGTTGACTCAAAGTGATTGTCATCTTCAGCATTGACCACTTCTTGTCAGACTCTTAACTCCTTCCATCAACAGGCGACAGTGCCAATGAGCAGGATGATGGTCATTTCAGACCAATCATATCTGACAACTCAAGAGTGAAAAACCTTTAACCCATTCCCTCTCTAATCTATGAAACAGTGATGGTATTCTACCAGTTTGGCCTGGTTCAGGTGAACTGGTAGTAAAAAATGCTCCCGTTTGAATGAACTGGTATTTCTTTCTTTTTTTTCCCCTCCTCCTGACAATCAGCTGTTCCAACAATCAGCTGTCCTGGGATCCCCCTAGCTGCCTTACTGCCTCACCCAGGAGGCTTTCCTGAGGCCCAGGAGGCAAAAAGGGGCACATGGGGGGGGTACTATGCAGCCCCCTGTGCTCTGGTTTTTTCCTCCCGGGCCTCAGGAAAGCCTCCTGGGAATAAAAACAGCCTCCCAGGAAGCTTCCCTGAGGCTCAGGAGGTAAAAAATGGAGCACGGGGTGTGGTGCTGCTGCTGCGAAAAAGAAGCCACACCCACCCAGTCACATGGCCACACCCACCTAGCCACGCCTACCTAGCCACACCTACAGATCCGTTGGAAAAAAAATATTTGCATCCCACCCCCTGCTATGAAGATCTCTCAAGAGTCTTTCCCCTCTGATGTTTAAAGATCTAATTTATGAATCTACGAAGATCTCTCAAAAGTCTTTCCCCTCTAACCTATGAATTTATAATGATCGATTCTCAAAAGTCTTTCAACAAGATGTTTTGGAGCACCACGAAGAGAACATGGGGTGTCTAGCATGCTAATTATGTGCCTACGGAGCGATTCAAGGTTGCGAATCTGAAATACGAAATTGCAAGGTGAATTAAAGTTTGCTCCTGTAACCTTCTTGGACACTGACCTCACGCAGAAGGGATGGCCACTGATTGCATCTCTCTATTTGAATGAGTCCCGTTGCTATAAATCCTTTCCCATCCTTATATATCTCTTCTGATCTCACCCTTCTCCTTTTCTGCACTGTCAAGGCTTTCTGTTCAAGAACCGAAACCTTCAATGGTTCCATAATATTATCTGATTTTGTCTCATAACAATCCACTCCCACTAAGTCCGAGTGAGTGCCAACCGGGGGTGGGATTCTACTGGTTCGGCCCGGTTCTATTGAACCGGTAGCTCCAAAGAGCAGCTGACACTGAACTGGTTTGCTCCGAAGACCTTCTTTTCTTTGGTTGGGCCCACCCGCCTGCCTGGGCTCTAGGCTGTCCTTTATTCCCTGCTAAAGCAACCTTAGCTGCTTTGCGCGGCACAGCTGAGTGCCCTGTGTCAGCAGGAGATGGTTATTGCTTGCAGGAGAACTTGATTTACAAGTAGTGTGTGAAGTGCACTTGCACACTCACTGAACTGGTTGTTATGCCGGTAGGATCCCAACCCTGGTCCCAATGATTGATTGAAGTTATTTGATAGGATTTCATGGCTGAAGGAGAATTGTAATTTGGGTTATTTTCCCCCAGGCTCAATTGCTACCTTAAGTACCATGCTAAGACTCTTCTAATGATTTAGAGATTATTCATCAACTTAAGGAAGGAACCCACAAACAGATACAGCAGCCTGGCCATGTTGATACGAATCCAGATGATAGATTTATCAGGATCAATGGCATTACTTTTGGTCTCTAGAAGGAAGACCGTATACAGTTTAATGCCTGGAGGATTGGCTTTCTTTCTTTCCAGCCATGCTTATATTGTTGAAGGAAACAAGGTTGAGGAAGACTCAAGTTTCCTCCCCAAGGATGCTTGGTCTAAGGGAGAAAAGGGGACGCTATTTTAGCCCTTAAAACCACAAAGAACAAGGGGTGACATTGCTTCCACAATGTCCTGATGCAACCAACTTCAGAGGCTTTGCAATCCTCTGAAGTTGAAATTAAAGTAAAAAAAACCCAGGAACATGGTTCCCCATTGCAAGAACATTTTCCACTTCTGGAGTTAATGTTGCTTGCAAAGTTGGAAGTACTTGACTTACTCACTGGCTGTGATTCCCTTAATTATCACTGTGCTTAGCAGCATAAATTCTGATCTTGATTATGGTCATGTATTGAAGATTACCTGCATCTATTACTGTACTGACTTTTTCCACATTGCTTTTTTCCCCCAACTTCCTGATTGGGCTAAAGGTTTAGAATTTTCAGGTGGTCACCCATTCAAATATGAACCATAGCCAGTTCTGCTTAATGTCAACTCGTAAAGCATTCCTGGCCTGCTCTTGAGTTGCCAAAGGCACGGGGGGGGGGGGGGGAGAACTGATGGAGAAGCTCAGTTGTTGTGACTAAAAGCACATTCCATGCATAACTTTTTCCAGATTGTATCCCAGGTTACTAGAGCAAGCTGGAGAGGCATGTTTTCTACAGCCTGTGAAAGTGCTCTGTTGGAGAATGTGATTTATGACACACCCTGGGAGGAGGGGGGGAAACAGAGTCATAGGTGGCCAGTAAATTATGTGGAGCAGAGCCGACTGCACTTGGGAAAGTGCCGACATGTTGCTCCTCATAAATAATTGGATTTCTTTTGAAACTTGGCTTGAGGCTCATGAATTAATTCGGGCGTCCGTCGGAACCCTGACAGCCAGTCAGCTCTGCCCCTGACACTTAGCTTCACTCAGGTCACATAGGTGCTATTACCCATCCAGCTGTAAGAATGTTTCTTCAATGAACTGCGGTGGCACAGTGGTTAGAGTATAGTACTGCAGGCTACTTCTGCTGACTGCCAACTGACTGCAATTTGGCAGTTCAAATCTCACCAGGGTCAAGTTTGACTCATCCTTCCATCCTTCCAAGATGGGTAAAATGAGGACCCAGATTGTTAGGGGAATATGCTGACTCTGTAAACTGCTTAAAGAGGGATGTAAAGCACTGTGAAGCTGTATATAAGTGCTATTGCTATTAAATCAAACCCTTTAGAACCGAAAGGAAATGTTCAATCATCTGTGGGTTCTGTTTTCTGCAATACTGGTTTGAAGCAAGAGAGCTTTGGGTTCTTTGGAGCAGGGGTCTCTAACCTTGGCAACTTTAAGCTTGGAGGACTTCAATTTCCAGAATTCCCCAGCCAGCAAAGCTAGTTGCCAGGCATCTGAATTTTAAGCACATAGCCATGGGTGTGTGTGTGTGCTGCAATGGTTGTTAAGTGTGAAAATGGTCATAAGTCACTTTTTTCAGTGGTTTTTCAGTGCGGTTTGAATGGTCACTAAATGGATTGTTTAAGTCAAGGGCTACCTGTCAATCTTGTTTTTGTTGTATATGGGAAAATAAAATGGGAGAAGTTTCTATCCTGCTAGGATTCATAATTATTCACACAGTAGTGGGATTTGACGTAAGTAAGCAATTGCTACATCGTTTACTCCACTTGGTAAACTTAAGTGGACATGCCAATCCTTATTTTCCTGAAATTACCAGCTACCAGTGATAAGATTTCATAAGCTGAAACATTTTCACTGGTGAGATGTTATCAGGGGTGGGCTTCATAAATTTTAGCAAAGGGTTCTTTGCCCGGTTGCTGGGTGGACATGGCCATGGTGGCTGTGGCTTGTCAACCTCCGGCACCATGGTGGTGGTGGGGGCATTTTTGCTCTCCCCAGGCTCCGGAAGCTTTCCTCAAACCTCCGGGAGAGCAAAGATGGCCTCCTCGGGCTCCAGAGGCTCTCTGGAAGCTGGAAACGGGCCCATGTCCGGCTTTCCCGAACTTCCAGGAGGCCCATTTTTCACCCTCCCTGAGCCTCCGTGCATGCCCTGCACTTACTTGCTTCCAAAACAGGCTGCGTGGGGACTCCTGGGAGGGGTGGGCGGTGGGGGCACCCAGGAATGGGATTTGGGGGGATCTCTGAACTGCACAGAACCTTAGCCTAGGGGGTCTTCTGAACCCCTGCAAACCCCCAGAAGCCCAGTCCTGGATGTCTTCCTTTCCAATGTTCTATTCATCCATTTAGGGACAGAAAGCTAACTCTGGCACACCGCTTGTCAACTCATAAAACATTTTGTATACATGTTTTATAATTGACAACAGAAAGAAGGGGAGGAGTTTCAAAGAGC